AAAGACAGCATGGATAGGAAAACATCCTTTAGGTGTGCGTGAGTGAGCTGCACTCTCTAATCTCTTTTGGTTTGTTCACAGATCAAAGTGCCATCCTTCTCCGAAACCCTGTCTGCACTCAATGTGGTGCAAGTGGCCGGTGGCTCCAAAAGCCTCTTTGCAGGTGAGGAATGAATAGAAATGCTTTTGAAGATCTGTCCATTCACACGTGTTGTGCTACAGTAGTGTGTAACTGATATGTCGCCGTTGCAGTGACTGTCGAGGGGAAGATTTACGCATGTGGTGAGGCAACTAATGGCAGATTGGGTTTGGGCCTCTCCAGTGGGACCATCCCAATCCCCCGTCAGATCACCGCCCTCAGTAACTACGTGATAAAGAAGGTCGCTGTGCATTCAGGAGGACGCCACGCTATGGCCCTGACTGTGGACGGGAAGGTGTTTTCCTGGGGCGAAGGAGACGACGGCAAGCTTGGCCACTTTAGTAGAATGTAAGTCATTGAATGTGGACACTGTGCACACCCCAGATACTTAACGCACCCTTTATTATCTCACTGTGTATTTTTAGCAACTATGGCATGTATAATATCCACATGAAGTGATGAATTAATAAAAGAAATAACAAAAATGTGTGTAGTTTCTCAGACAGTCAACAGTCAGTCAACAGCTCATACACTGTGGAACTACACGCCAATTGGCTCAATTTAATTATAATAAAACACTCCTAAAAGGGTAATAGCTTTTATCTTTTCAGCTTTGAAGGTCCTGTAGATCTTCTTCAGTGTAAGATTGAAGTATAAATTGAGCTCATGATTTCACAAGCTGTGTTCCAACTTCAGGAGTTTGATTTGACAGTGTACGGCCTTCATATAGTCTTGTAGTTGTACTCTTCCTTAATCGTCATTGTGATTTATTCTTAAATAAACCTTTTCATGATTTATCAGCTTTAAATCTCAATTATAGTTGTTACATGTACTGATTATGAAAAAAAGACAGTCAGCACAATATGATTACATTTACAATGCACCTTTTTGTCATGAAACATCATCATCTTCTCTTGTTTAGAACGGAGTCAGACAGTTTGGGCACTTCTTTATAACGTTAGCTAAAGCTGTTGGGTGCAGATATATGCTGTAGTGAAGGCAGGCCAACAGGGGCTAAAGCTGTGTTAAGTCTATGTCGTTGCGATATAGACTTATATCACATTATGACCTACCCGGAAACTCCTTTTAACTCCTCTACCACGTAATGTTCCAAGCCGTTTAGTTGATGCAGGCTGTGTCAGTGAGATGTGTAGTTAATTTTTTACATCGTCATATGTGCTTTATGGACAGCAGTTTCTAATGAAATAGAAATAAGTAAGGACTGTTAAGAAGAGTCTGATTTCTATTTGTTTGCTTTATTTTTTCTTTTAGGAACTGTGACAAGCCCCGGCTTATTGAGGCGCTGAAGACGAAGCGCATCCGTGACATCGCCTGTGGCAG